TTAAGTATATATTTTTGTAATATATTTATTTTTTAAGCTTTTTTACTTAGCACGCATAGAAAAAATATAAAAAGTTAAAAAAAAAAAAACAACTCAGCCATAAGGAAAATTTAAAGGAAAATAAAGGAAAACATATTCCTGATTTTTTCTGTATATTTTATCCAAACAATTTCCAGGATTTCAAAAATATGACCTGGATAATCTATAATGTACCCATGAGCTATGAGAAATTTTATTAATTTTTTTTCTTACGTTAATTCGTTTTGATGTCTTTTTGCATTTAAAAATGTTTTCGCTATATTTGACGTTTTTTTTCAATACTTATATAATAGGAAAATAAGAAAACGAGTTGCTGTTTTTTTGTAATATATATTATTTGATTAATAAATTTTGTAATGAAGGAATAACTTAAATAAAAGAATAAAATGGTTTTATTTATAAATGTATTTATTGCATTTGATTCATGTCTGAAATTGTTTCTTTTATATTGCCCAGTTTCCAATGTTAATACGAATTACTAGAGATAATGAACATAACGATTGCTCTGTTTGAAAAAATGTATTTAAAAACTTTAAAAAAAAAGTTTTAAATAGTCTCCTAAAAATTTTGTTAAAAAGTTCAGTAAATTAACAATGCACTTACTTAAATTTAAATGCACAATTTGGATAATCCAACAAAAGTGCAGACTATTTCAATAGGGGGTAGTGAAAATCAAATATTTTATATTTAAATATAAGTATTAATGAATTTTTTTCATGAAAATCTCATTCAAAAAAAAAAAAAAACAAATTCTTACAAATAAATAGTAATTAGTTTCCTCGCTTTCCTGTGCATTGATAAAAGCAGTAAAGTTTAGCTTAATGTTAACAATAATGATAATAGTAGCTATAATAATGATGATTAATAATAATAATGATAATAATAATAATAATAATAATAATAATAATAATAATAATAATAATAATGGCTGATGAAATTCGCTTATTCTTTTATATTTAAATTTTCTAATTTTTTTTTTCTGACTTTTTTTTTTTTTCTCTTTATTTAAATCACTTATCATAATTCAGTCAATTAAAATTTTCTTTTAATACTGATAGAATTGTTACGTTGTTAAACCATATAGTCTTTATTGCTAGATATAGCATTGTCTGCTTTACTTGAACTATCTGATGATGACAATAACTTTTTTTCTATTTCCAGACATTCTTTGGATTTTCGCTTTCTCTCCTTTTCTTTGATACCACGTTGAACTTCCTTTTGCATTCTTGATTCTTTACTTTCTTCTTTTTTTTTTGCCAAATTTATATGGTATATTTTCTTTCTGAACGTTGGTCTGCAAGAAATATTTGGTCTTCTTTTATTTTTATCAGCTTCATCGTCGTGAGCAATATCAAAAAGACAATTTACTGAGTTCAAAAAATCTTGTTCTTATACCTGCTGTGTTGGCCCACCGCGACTCTTGTTCTTTGAAATATTTCTGTATCTTTCCAATAAAGCTTCAGTTTTTGGAACAATACTTCTATGTTCAGCAGTTGGATTTCTAGCTTTGGCACAGATCTCACACAACTGCTGGACTACAGTTTTTATGGCATCTTTTAGAGTTTGACTGTTCTTTTTATGATGGAAAAAATTTGTTCTTAAAACTTCCAAACTTGTGGGCAAAACTCTGCCAATAAAATGTGGTTCTGGTTCCCCAACCAAATAAATGTAAGTTCTTGATCTTCTTTCAGCCGTTATTGCTGTCTGCCAACCACCATTTGGTCTACATTAGTTCTATAATCTAATCTTTCTAAACTATAAGTAAATAAAAAATGTTTTGCATTATTTCATTTGTTTTAAATTTGTTTTAATATTGCTGTCTGCAGTCAAGATTCCACAATTTGTTTGTTTTGTTTTTATTTATGATTTGTGATCTTTGGTAACTAATAAGTAAATACTAAATACAAATTCTTTGCAGGTAATAATAGTAATTACTAATTAGCTCTTGGAAATAGGTACAACAGTAAATATTTTAAAAATCAAGCCCAAAAATGAAAAATCTGCAAACTTAGGTACCATGAGGCAGTTCTAAATATTTTCTGATTTCAATAATATTTCATAGTTTTGCTTTATAGGTCAAAAAGAACATAAATATCTAAGTGCCTCTGTAATTGGTTGACTTAAATTTTGTCTACAGAAGCTGAACCACCCTAAAATATATATATATATATTTTATATATATATATATATATATATATATATATATATATATATATATATATATATATAATATATATATTTTATATATAAGATTAACTGGACCGATGAGAGACAATAAGATTAATTGGACCGATGAGAGACAGTTAAAAAAAGAAAAATAGCTTTTTACGCAAAAAAACTTTAGGCAAAATAAATTTATTAAAGCAATTATTTTTGAAACTTCGCTCTTTTATAATTTTTTTTGTAAAATTAAGCGACATTTTTTATATTAAGTAACAACTATAAAAAAACAAATGTTCTTCGATTTATCAAAGAGTATATACTATTTTTATTTATATACTTATGTCTTATTTCCAGTTGCGGATTGAGGAGGTGGGGTGGAGGTAGTAGGGCTATAGCCCTGGGACTCACAATGTTAGGGGAAATAGTCAAGAGAACTATTCTGTATTTTTTTTAGTCATTTTTACGCTGTGGCACATAAAAAAGGTCGCCAAAATAATGCAGCCCCCGGCCTTGAAAAGTCCAACAAGATTCAACCAATAAAACTAACGCTAGATGATTTATTTATAAATAAAAAAGTTTTTTCAATTACTGTTTTATGCTTTGCGTAGTTTAAAAAGTTTAGCACTTTTGAAACAATTCTTCTTAGTAAGATAAACAAATGAAATAATTAAATCATTGAGTTACTGTAGAAATTCAATTAGCTAGATAGAAATTAACTAAAAACGTTAAATTACTTTGTGAGGAGGAAGCGGAACTGCTTCACAATAACGCTGATGATGTTTAGTGAGTGGGCTTTAAAATTTTAATTTGTATTTAAAACAGAAAAAAGTAAGAATGGCTGAAGCAAAAATAATTGAAGTTAGTAAACCAATTTTTAGGAACTTAAAAACTTTTCTTTTTTGGGGGAAAGAATCAGTTATCGGGTACACTGAGGAAAATGGATTAGTGGTTAAAAATATTTGTATTAACTTTGACGATTATTAATAATTTCATTGAAAACGCAGTTATTATTGAAAGTATTTTTGTTTACAAATCAATCGCACAAATTGCTTTAAAAGATTACATTTGAATAAAATTGACATACATAAAATTACTTAGATAAAAATCATTACATACATAAAAATACACATTACATACATAAAAATACATTACATAAATAAAAAATACATCCCTTATATATATATAAAATAAAAATATACTAATGAAATCTATAATATATTTACAAAACGTTGGCGTTGAGTTAAAAAATATAAATTTAAAACATTTATTATTGCAAACAAATGTTAGTTTAAAACATTTATAGCTTTGTAGATGATTTTTACCTTTGTAGGCTCTAAGAATTAAAATAATAGTTCTTTGATAGTATATTCTTAAAATAATTTATGCTAGAAATCTCGCGAAAACATAACAAAATTCGAATAATACAATTTTTTTAAATATTTTAACAGAATACTCAGGACATTCGGTTATGTTAACTTTTACTATTATTTTTTCAAAGTTGTTGTTGGTTAGTCTGCTGTGCAAACAAAAAAGATTTATGTAAGTGCATGGTTTACATTATATTATTTAAATGTTTATACCAGGGGTCAGAAACTTGCAGATCACAAGCCTTATGTTCTTTTTAAAATGTCAAGATGCAGCTATTTAGCTTCATGCACAAACATTAATATAGTATTGAAATAAAGGTGTTGGTACTTTTTTAAAAACTGAAAAACTTTGCAAATTGCAACTTTTGGTTCTTCTTTTACAAAGATTGCTAATCCCAGGTTTATACAATTCGTTAAAGTATTTTTTTGCTATACTAAAAAAAATATTTTGGCTTTCTCTGTGAAATTCGATTAGGTCTAAAGTTAAAGTGAGGAGGATTGGCACACTGAAGTGTTGTACTAATTTGAAATATATTTATAACTTAAATGTGAAATGTGTATACACTTTTGTGAATCCTTTAATATTTTTTTTTGTTCAGAGTAAGCCTTTGTAGTTATAAACTGGAAATATGTAATAAAATTTGATATAATATGTGATAAAATTTAAACAAATTTTTTTCTAAAAATTTTACTTTAAATCACATTTTTGTTTTAGTTGTAATCATGTCTATATAAAATGTTTTTTTGTTTTTTTTTTCCAATTTAATTTCATTTTTATGAAGGATGGGGAGTGTAAAGGCAAGTTTCCACTCATCCGTTTTTTCACGGGAACGGGAAAGGAACAGGAAAAAAAATCACGTGGGCATGCGTAGTATAAGTTTTAATATGCATGAAGGAAAACTACGCATGCTCACATGATTATTTTTCCCTTTCCTATCCCGTTCTTGTGAAAAAACGGATGAGTGGAAACTCACCTTTATCAAATGTTGATGTAATTTTATAGGGGGTTTCTAGAAGTTTGATAAGTTGTTGACAAGGGGGAGGGGAAAGGTAGAAATTGCCAAAAAATTGTTGACGTAATTAATCAACAGCCCCTAACTAGTCATGAATCAATAATGTTATTCAATACAAAGTTCATTAGTCAATAGTTTTTGTTTGTTTTATAACTTATGAGTTTTTTATTTGTGTTTAATATAACGTTACACTTGATTATGTTTTCTCATTTTCAGTGCCTAAGCACTGACTTTTTTAAATTATATGCCTATATTATCTATATACTGAACTAAAATTTTTATGTATTATACATATATTATTTTGCGTTAAAGTTAGATGAAATAAAATTTTTATGAAAATGAACAAATATAAATTAAAAATAAAAAATTATTTTAACATAAACTTGAAACTGTGTATAAAAATGTTTTATTAATTTAGTAAATATTTTTGCTGGTACGCCAAGAACTACACGTGGTCGACCTATCCATCTTTCTGCTGATCCAAAAGGGAAAAATTTTTTGTATTGTCAAGGGAATAGTATTATAATTCGTGATGTAGAAGTATGTTGTATTAAGATATTCTTTGTTAAAATTTTAAAATTAAAATAGAAACATTTTGAGTAATTTTCTGCATTTGTTTATGGCTATAATTGTTATACTATGTCATTATGGCAATAATTGTCATGCGATGTTGTTAGATATCTATTAACTTTTAAAAAAATAAAGATATTTATAAACTTAACCTATTTATCATAGAATCCTAGTAATTCAGATGTGTACACCCAGCATGCTAAAGACACTACAAGTGCTGCTTATTCTCCAAGTGGATTTTATATATGCTCTGCAGGTTTAATGCTTTATTTTTTAAAAAATTTGTCATATTTTAAAAATTAAAATACAACAAATTTACTAAGAATACTAAAATGCTTACAAAATTATTATTAGATGTTACTGGCAAAGTGAGAATTTGGGACACAGTAAACAAAGACCATATCCTTAAGTATGAATACCCCGCTCTTGGTGGTCCAATTAAAGATATTGCTTGGACTGAAGACAGTAAAAGAATTGGTGTTTGTGGTGAAGGAAGAGAAAAGTAAGTTACATTTTACACTGAAAAAAAATTCACATATTATATTACATAGTTATTTCATTTCTTTGTTATAAGTTTGTGTATGCTTTGATACAACTTTTATAATTAATAATAAAAATAGTTTTTTTTGATATAGTTAATACAAGAAAATATTAAAACTGTAATTGTAAAAGTCTAATATGATAAAAATCGTATGTTTAAATATATATATATATATATATTATATATTTTATATATAAATTATATATATATATATATATACATATATATATATATATATATATATATATATTGCTGACCTCTAACTGTTAGAGTTTGGCATAAGGTTGGCAATAAAAATTTGACACATAGTGGTTACCATAAAACATAGAAACCTTAAATACTTTTAGATTGGCAGTTAAGTAGCCAATCCTAATTCTGAGGGTTGTATATATATATATATATATATATATATATATATATATATATATATATATATATATATATATATATATATATATATATATATATATATATATATACATATATATATATATATATATATATATATATATATATATATATATATATATATATATATATATATACAACCTATATATATATATATATATTATATATATATATATATATATATATATATATATATATATATATATATATATATATATATATATATATATATATATATATATATATATATATATATATATATATATATATTACTACTACTGTGCAGAGAAATAAGTTGAGCATACTACCAGGGACGTGGTAACTTGAATATATAATGATTTTACACATATTTATCTGTTTTATTTTATATTTTTCACCTCATCACACAGTTGTTTACATTTTTATTGTACCTTGCTGTTATTTTTATCACACATGTTTAGGTGTTGATTTATTATTGCACCTTGCTGTTATCTTCATCACATATGTTTCAGGCTTGGTCGGGAAGCGGGAGCGATCGCTCTCGATTGCTGACCACGTAAATAATATTTAGTTGCGAAAAGCTGGCCAGATTTTTTAGTTGTTTTGAGAATATTTTAAAAAGCAAGAAAAAAAAAAAAACGACAAAGATTAATTGGACCGATGAGAGACAATTACAAAAAAATAATAATAAAATAGGCAAATAAAATATCTTCTAACGCGAAAAAACTTAAAGCTAAATAAATTACATTTAGAACAAATATTTTCGAAAATCGCTCTTTTATAATTTTTTTATAAAATTAACAACTTACGACTGTTTAAAAGAGAAACAAATATCCTTTATCAGGCCTTGCGATAAAGCGTCGGGCGATGTGAATTTTACGTCGTCCAAGGGCGATTTTGCGTGTAGCTAGGGCTATTTGCGTCGAGCAAAAAATTTTTTGTTTGAGTATATTTAAAGATATTTTTGAGCGGAATTTTAATGAAGTAATTGACGATTATTTTAACATTTAATCAAGTATTTTAAAAACCGCATGCAGTTGAAATAAAAGTTTGAATTTAAAAAAATTAAATATGCTCATTATTTTCAAGTAGAAAAAATTCAAAAATTAAAAAAAAAAGTTTAAATCTTTTAAGCTAACATTTTAATAAAATTATTCAGCAATAGCAACGTTGTCGATAAAATTGAACAAAAATACTTTCTTTTAGTTTTAGATTTTAAACTTAAATAATTATTTTACAGGGGTTTGATAGGTTTTAAAATTAACCCATAGATTTAAAAATATTTATTAACTGTTAGACGTATTTAAAGTATTTAAGAGTGATTTCGAGGAAACATTTTAAAAATTGGTGAGGGCAAATAAAAAAAAAAAAAGAATAATATTAAAACGTATTCTACTTGATTCAATGAAAAAGTACAGTTATTAAAATTTTTGTAAAAAGAACTCAAAAAAATTACTTAAATAATAACGATCGCTTTTATGTTAAAAGTTACCGAAACTCATCGAAGCGTGCTCAAGAACATCTGCTGAAAAATAGAACGTCAATAGTTTTTCGAATAATTTTTAAGAATAATTTTTAAGAATAATTTTTTCGCTAAAATATTTCTTTTATACCTATAAGATTTTTATTCTAACATTTTATTTTATTTTACTAGAAATAAAATTCCTTGTTAACATTAAAAATCTATTCAAAACGTTCGTTTAAGTTTTTTATTAATACGAGTGATTGTGCTTATCAACCGCTTTATGAAAATAAATAAAAATAAATAAATAAATATTATATAAAATCGCTTGTAAAAATATTAGCTATTGCACAGTTTTTAATCGTACAATATTAAAATTTCCAGTTTATTACTCGCTGACTTTTTAAAAAGAAAAAATAATTATTTGAAAAACTTTAAATTACATATTTAAGAAAAAAAAAATCAAATATTAGCATATTTTATAATCTTTTTTAAATTTAAGTTATAATGTTTTTTATTCGTTTAGTATAGACAAAACGTGACAAACTCGAGAAAATAAACAAATGTTTTTACATTTTAAAAAACGAAACATTCCAAAACATTTTTAATTAATAACATTTCTACATAAACGATTTAAAGTAGTTTTGCGGTAATTAAATAAATTGGTGCAGTTAATGTCGATAAATATGAAAAGCAAATAAAAAGAATTTAATGACGTCAAAAATAACGTCGTGCTTATGCGTCGCGCAGCTCTTATTCATCGCAAGGCCTGCTTTATATAACTAAGTTTGCAAATTTTAGTTTTACTTGAGCTAAATTGTTTAATAAATAAAAAAGTTAATTTTTTCAATACCTATTTTATGTTTTGCGTAGTTTGAAAAGTTTAACAAATTTGAAGCGATTCTTCTTAGTAAGATAAACAAATGAAATAATTAAATCATTAAATTACTATAGGAATTAAACTATCAAGATAGATATCAACTAAAAAGGTTAAAAATACTTAATGACCAGGAAGCGAAACTGCTTCACGATATCGCTGATAATGTTTAGTGAGTGGGCTTTTTAATTTTAATTAGTATTTAAAGCAGAAATAAGTAAAACGAGTTTTCAGAATGGCAACTTAAGCGAAAATAATTAGAGTTAGTAAACCAATATCTGGAAATTTTTTTTTTAATCTAATTATTTGCTATATATATTTGTGTTCTGTCGTGACCTTAGGCGCGATGCTTGTTCATCCGCAAGTTACTTTGTATGCTTTGTTTGTGTTTAGTATCTAGAAACTTCTTATATGTTTGTTACATAATTAGTTTTATTAACTTTAACGATTATAATTTCATTGAAAACGCAATTATTTTTGTAAGTCTTTATTTAAATCATAAAAATTGCTTTAAAAGATACATTACGATAAAAAACAGAAACACAAAATTACATTTACATAAAGATTACATACTTTTTAAATAAAAAATAAGAATATACTAATAAAATCTATAATTTATAATAAACTTTTAAAATTTTAACAATTTAATTAATATAAATTTAAAACATTTATTTTTGTAAACAAATAATATATATTCTTAAAACAATTCTAGAAATCTCAAAACGTTACAAATCGTGGATAATACAAATTCTAAAACATTTCAACAGAATTCTCTAGAACTTTATTTCGCTTAATCAGCGTATTTTTTGAACTAATAGAATTAGTTTCTTCGTTAATTTGGCGGGTTTTTAGTGCTCGCAAATATTCTTTTTATTCTTGCGCACAATGATGTTTTGGGAACATTCAATTTTTTTTTGTTTCCATGTATGTCCGTAAAACAAAAATTTTTTGTTTCATAAATAAACTTAAATGTTCTCAAAACGACTAAAAAACCTGGCCAGTTTTACGCAACTAAATATAATTTCCGTGGTCAGTATTCGAGAGCGATCACTCCCGCTTCCTGACCAAACCTGATGTTTAGGTAGTGATTCATTATTAGACATTCTAATCACTTATAATTATCTTCAAATTTTGATCTTTTCAAATAACTAAGATCAAGCAATCTTAATTATCTTGATCTAGTTTTCCTGCCAAAAAGCTGCATCATTTGAAATCATCTGTAGTATCTGACATGTAGTATCTGACATGTTATGTATCTGACATGTTATGTATCTGACATGTAGTATCTGACATGTTATGTATCTGACATGTTATGTATCTGACATGTAGTATCTGACATGTTATGTATCTGACATGTTATGTATCTGACATGTTATGTATCTGACATGTTATGTATCTGACATGTTATGTATCTGACATGTTATGTATCTGACATGTTATGTATCTGACATGTTATGTATCTGACATGTTATGTATCTGACATGTTATGTATCTGACATGTTATGTATCTGACATGTTATGTATCTGACATGTTATGTATCATGACATGTTATGCATCTGACATGTTATGTATCTGACATGTTATGTATCTGACATGTTATGTATCTGACATGTTATGTATCTGACATGTTATGTATCATGACATGTTATGTATCTGACATGTTATGTATCATGACATGTTATGTATCTGACATGTTATGTATCTGACATGTTATGTATCTGACATGTTATGTATCTGACATGTTATGTATCATGACATGTTGTGTATCTGACATGTTATGTATCTGACATGTTATGTATCTGACATGTTATGTATCATGACATGTTATGTATCTGACATGTTATGTATCATGACATGTTATGTATCTGACATGTTATGTATCTGACATGTTATGTATCTGACATGTTATGTATATGACATGTTATGTATCATGACATGTTATGTATCTGACATGTTATGTATCTGACATGTTATGTATCTGACATGTTATGTATCTGACATGTTATGTATCTGACATGTTATGTATCTGACATGTTATGTATCATGACATGTTATGTATCTGACATGTTATGTATCTGACATGTTATGTATCTGACATGTTATGTATCTGACATGTTATGTATCATGACATGTTATGTATCTGACATGTTATGTATCTGACATGTTATGTATCTGACATGTTATGTATCTGACATGTTATGTATCTGACATGTTATGTATCATGACATGTTATGTATCTGACATGTTATGTATCATGACATGTTATGTATCTGACATGTTATGTACTTGACATGTTATGTATCTGACATGTTATGTATCTGACATGTTATGTATCATGACATGTTATGTATCTGACATGTTATGTATCTGACATGTTATGTATCATGACATGTTATGTATCTGACATGTTATGTATCATGACATGTTATGTATCTGACATGTTATGTATCTGACATGTTATGTATCTGACATGTTATGTATCTGACATGTTATGTATCATGACATGTTATGTATCTGACATGTTATGTATCTGACATGTTATGTATCTGACATGTTATGTATCTGACATGTTATGTATCTGACATGTTATGTATCATGACATGTTATGTATCTGACATGTTATGTATCTGACATGTTATGTATCTGACATGTTATGTATCTGACATGTTATGTATCATGACATGTTATGTATCTGACATGTTATGTATCTGACATGTTATGTATCTGACATGTTATGTATCTGACATGTTATGTATCTGACATGTTATGTATCTGACATGTTATGTATCATGACATGTTATGTATCTGACATGTTATGTATCTGACATGTTATGTATCTGACATGTTATGTATCATGACATGTTATGTATCTGACATGTTATGTATCATGACATGTTATGTATCTGACATGTTATGTATCTGACATGTTATGTATCTGACATGTTATGTATCTGACATGTTATGTATCATGACATGTTATGTATCATGACATGTTATGTATCTGACATGTTATGTATCTGACATGTTATGTATCTGACATGTTATGTATCTGACATGTTATGTATCATGACATGTTATGTATCTGACATGTTATGTATCTGACATGTTATGTATCTGACATGTTATGTATCTGACATGTTATGTATCTGACATGTTATGTATCTGACATGTTATGTATCTGACATGTTATGTATCATGACATGTTATGTATCTGACATGTTATGTATCATGACATGTTATGTATCATGACATAAAATCCAATTAACTATTATTATGATTAGTCTACTATTTTTTACAAGAGTTTTTTGTTAAAATTTGTTAGTTTTAAATTTATTTAAAATTAAAAAGTTAATTTTGTGTTAGGGTTTGTTCATGTGTGTGTGTTCAGCAGGTGTATATATATATCACATGCTGAAGATAAAGGGGATTGTAGAAAAAGTGTGTGTGTGTGCATATATATATATATATATATATATATATATATATATATATATATATATATATATATATATATATATATATATATATATATATATATATATATATATATATAGAGGCTTGGTCGGAAAGCGGGAGCGATCGCTCTCGATTGCTGACCACGTAAATAATATTTAGTTGCAAAAAGCTGGCCAGATTTTTCAGCCGTTTTGAGAACATTTTAAAAAGCAAAAAAAAAAAAAAAGCGACTAAGATTAATTGGACCGATGAGAGACAGTTACAAAAAAAAAAAAAAAAAAAGGGGAAAAAAAAATATCTTTAAACGCCATAAAACTTAAAGCTAAATAAATTACATTTAGAACAAATATTTTCGAAACATCGCTCTTTTACAATTTTTTTTATAAAATTAAGTAACAACTTACGGTTGTTTAAAAGGGAAACAAATATTCTTTATTTAACTAAGTTTGCAAGTTTTAGTTTTACTTAAGCTTAATTTATTTTATAAATAAAAAAGTTAATTTTTTTAATACCTATTTTATGTTTCGCGTAGTTTGAAAAGTTTAACATATTTAAAGCGATTCTTCTTAGTAAGATAAACAAATGAAATAATTAAATCATTGAATTACTATAGGAATTAAATTATCATGATAGAAATCAACTAAAAAGGTTAAAAATACTTTATGACCAGGAAGCGAAACTGCTTCACAATATCGCTGATGATGTTTAGTGAGTGGGCTTTTAAATTTTAATTAGTATTTAAAGCAGCAAAGAGTATAACGAGCTTTAAGAATGGCAATTTAAGCGAAAATAATTAGAGTTAGTAAACCTATATCTAGAAACTTTTTTTTAAATCTAATTATTTGCTATATATATTTGTGTTCTGTTGTGACCTTACTCGCGATGCTTCTTCATCTGCGACTTACTTTGTATGCGTTGTTTGTGTTTAGTAACCAGAAACTTCTTATATGTTTGTTACATAATTAGTTTTATTAACTTTAACGATTATAACTTCATTGAAAACGCAATTATTTTTGTAAGTCTTTGTTTAAATCATGAAAATTGCTTTAAAAGATACATTACGATAAAAAACAAATACACAAAATTACATTTACATAAAGAATACAATCTCTTTTAAAATAAAAAATAAGAATATACTAGTAAAATCTATGATTTATAATAAACTTTCAAAATTTTGATAACTTAATTAATATATATTTAAAACATTTATTTTTGTAAACAAATAATAAAAATTTTTAAAACAATTTATGCTAGAAATCTCAAAACGTAACAAATCGTGAATAATACAAATTCTAAAACATTTCAACAGAATACTCTAGAACTTTATTTCGCTTAATCAGCCTATTTTTTGAACCAATAGAATTAGTTTGTTCGTTAATTTGGCGGGTTTTTAGTGTTCGCAAATATTCTTTTTATTCTTGCGCTCAAAGATGTTTTGAGAACATTCAAGTTTTTTATGTTTCCATATATGTCCGTAAAACAAAATTTTTTTATTTTGTACATAAACCTAAATGTTCTCAAAACGACTGAAAAACCTGGCCAGTTTTACGCAACTAAATATAATTTCCGTGGTCAGTATTCGAGAGCGATTGCTCTCGCTTCCCGACCAAGCCTATATATATATATATATATATATATATATATATATATATATATATCACATGCTGAAGATGATGGGGACTCTAGAAGGCTGTAGGACTGTAAAAGACTGTAGAAAATTATATATATATTTTTATTGTTATTATTGTTGTATTATTGTTGTTGTATTATTATTGTTGTTGTTGTTATTATTATTATTTTTGCATGTGTATTAGCAAAAATGTTTTGTTTAATTTTAGTTTGACAAAAATAATAATTTTTTTTTATTATTAGTTTTTATTTATTCAAAAAGAAATAAAGTAAAAATAAAGTAAAATAATTCAGTTATACAATGATTGCACCATTGCACAAAGTTTTATTTTAAATACTTTGTTAATAGAGCAGCCCATGTTTTCATGTGGGATACTGGTACATCAGTTGGTGAGTTAACAGGGCCCTTGAAAGCTTGCAATAATATTAGCATTAAACAAACACGACCATACAGACTTGTTGTATCGTCTGAAGATTATTCTACATGCTATTATGAAGGCCCTCCTTTTAAATTGAAGTCGCAATTTCGAGTGAGTTGTTCTCTTTTTTTTTTTTTTTTTTTTTTTTTCCATTAATTTTATTTATAGTGTAATTAGGTTATTATGTTATTAGTGTTCATGTTACATAAAAATTAAAAAAGTAAAAAGCAGGAAATATTGCAATAATGAAAGTGTGTCTAAAAAGACTGAGTTCAGAAAAGTGTGGGAAAATCATATTAAAAATGCAGAGGATTTAGTTTGCAGATTATTCATTTTTTATAATGAACAAAGACCACATTGAATAGAGAAGAGAAATCTGTTAAAAATGCCATTTAGAGATAGAAAGAGGGACAACTGAATAAGCGCGAATTTCATAAGTGCGAACTGGCATAAGTGCAAATGGTGTAAGCGCAAACTGGCATAAGCGCGAATTAGCATATGTGCCAACTGGCATAAGTGCAAATTGGCATAAGTGTGCCAAAACATTTTGCAAACATTGGCATTAGTGCGAATTGGCATAAGTGCGAACTGGCATAAGTGTGAATCAGTTACAAAAACTAGCACAAGTGGGAACTGGTATAAGTGCGAATTGGCATAAGTGCGCCAAACAAATTTGCAAATGTTGGCATAAGTGCCAACTGGCATTAGTGCAAAGCAGTTACAAAAACTGGTATAACTGTGAATTGGCATAAGTTCGCCAAATAAATTTGCAAACATTGGCATAAGTGCAAACTGGCATAAGTGCGAATTGGCATAAGTGCAAAATACTAATTTGCACTTATGCCAATATTTGAAATTTTATTCGGCGCACTTATGCCAATTCGCACTTATGCCAGTTCGCATTTATGCCAGTTTTTGCAACTGCTTTGCACTTATGCCAGTTCGCACTTATGCCAATTCGCACTTATGCCAATGTTTGCAGAATGTTTTAGCACACTTATGCCAATTCGCACATATGCCAGTTCGCACTTATGCCAGTTTTTAAAATGCTTCGCACTTATGCCAGTTCGCACATATGCCAATTCGCGCTTATGTAGCCTCCTGACAGAAAGAAAAATTCTTAGTTACTGTTCTTAATAATAATTTTTTTTTTTCAATGCAAATATACTTATTGATACTTTTAAAGACAAATATATAGAAATAAATATTGCACAATAATTATAAAAATATTATTTTCTTATAATTTTTATTTGTTACTTCAGGAGCACACGAGTTTTGCAAATTGCGTTCGTTTTTCACCAGATGGTAATAAGTTTGTTAGCGCTGGTTCAGATGGAAGGGTATGTTGTTTTTATTAAAACTATTTTGATTTAAAATAGTTTAGTAAACTATTAAAAGTTTGTTACTTTTAATAGTTTAGTTGTTTGTTTTTTTATTATGTTTTTATTTTTAGTGCTTTGTGCATGATGGGAAAACAGGTGATCTCATAGGAGAAATGTGTAGTGCTCAGCAAAAAGTACACAATGGAGGAATTTATGGGGTAGCCAAATTAGCCAAGTTTATAAAATATATGTTTAAATTATTGAAAAGGCATATTAAAAAAGACTTTTTTGTTTAAATTAGATCTCTTGGAGCCCTGATAGTAAAATGTTGATGACATGTTCAGCTGATAAAACTGTGAAAATATGGAACATGGATGATCTTTCAAGTAAAGAAGTTGTGTAAGTTTTTATTTATTTTACAATGAGTCATTTCACATTAAGCATCATCATCATTAGCATCCTCGTTATCATCATCATTAGCATCCTCGTTATCATCATCATTAGCATCCTCGTTATCATCATCATTAGCATTCTTGTTATTAAAAATAGTAAAAACTCATTTTAAATGACTTATATTTTTTAAAAGATATAAAAAAATACTAAATAGCTTTAAGTTAGTTTTCAATACTTAATGTTTTCACTAATTGCATTTTTTTTTAATTTTTATATTACTCTCCTTGTTATTAATTTTGTCTTTGTTATTATTGTTTGATCTTTTATTATGATTTTTATTTTTCATGATATTTTCTTTTGTATATGTTACATATTGATTTGTTAAAATATCCCCATTCCACTGAAACAATGTTATTTAACTCTTAGGCAGACAATAAACTTGTTCAGTCACTGTATATATGTCAACTTTAAAACAGAGTGGATTGAACAGAAAGAATTTTTTACCCTTTTTTTTCCTCTCACGGCTGTTTCAAAGGGCTTGAAAATCAAGTTGAACAGAAGTTTTGCACATATTTTCGTTTAACCTAAGATTTTTAATCTTTTATATCTTGAAATATATTTCTTCAATAGTCTTCATTATTTTTTTAATGGGCAGTTAAATAACCAAACAATATTAATAAATAAATGATTTTTTTTCAAGTGAAAAAAAATCATTTATTTCGCTCGCGTTTATTATTAGATATTATTAAAATATAAATAAATATAATTATAATTGAAATTAGATTTTGTAAGTTTCATTTTCAAGAAGTTCTTAACGCTTTTTTTGTAATTTTACAATTCTAAACTTTTTTTTACCAGAAAACTTGTTTATTCAAGCACTCTATTAATCCATAAATAGTAAAGAAGGCAAATCGTAAATGAATACACCTAATTGTTTGTACTTAATATATAGCTATAAGAAAAACAAAACAAACAATTAACAAAAACAACTTGCCTGTAATAAAATTTTGTTCTGTAGCATTTTTTCATCATTAAATTGCATTAAGTAAACAATTTGTGAGAAAAATGTTTCTAATTTTTTATTTGAGTATCTGCTACCAACTCAGTAATGTAGCGGGGAGCTGAGTGGGAAATTACCCCCGGCTTGAAGGTTTAAAGGGGCACCAAAAAAAACGACAAGCAAAAAAAAAGTTTATTTTACTATAAAAAGTAATATTTTTTAATTTTATTGTAAAAAAGGCGCTTTTTTACATTTTTGCCCTGGGTGCAAAAATCCTCGCTACACCGTTGCTTAGTAAATTTAACATTTCCTCATTACGTAAGTTGTTTAAGTGGCGCGCCACTGTAAGTTATCGCGACCTGCCACTGTATATTTTCTCATCAAAGCACAACATTTTCTCATTGTGTAAATTGTTACAGTCTGTAACAACTTACACAATGATTTAATATTGAGCTTTATTTTTAAAAATGTTCAAAATTAAAAAAAAAAAATTGAATTTACTTTTTCGAAATTAATAGTTACGGTTCAAGTAAAACTTTTTTTAATTACTCAGTATAAAATTTTTCTGTTTCTCTAAAGTATTGTTTATATAATACTTTTTACAGAATAAAAAAAAAGTTGTGTTATAAGTTGTATATCTTGAGAGATTGAGATTAGTTCTTCTGTTCAAAATTTAAAAAAAAAAAAACTTTTTGAACATTTTTTTTCTAAAGTAATAGGTATGATTCAAGTAAAAACTTTTTAAATTACTTAGTATAATTTAATAACTTTTCTACTGTTCTTATGTGTTATATAAGTAATACTTTTTACAGAATAAAAAAAGTTGTATATTTCTTGAAATAATTATTTGTAATTCGCAGTAAAAATTTTTTCATATACTGAGTATTAGTAACAGTGTAACAGCCGTGCTCTATTGACTACGCTGTTCCATCCCAGTCACTATCATTATTAAAAAAATCACTGAAAAACTCACATCACCACCATTATTGAAAAAAAGTTTTTTTTAAGAATTGGTTTTTTCAATCATTTTGTCTGTTATTGAAAAAAAGAGAGAAAATTAAAGAAAAAAATCTAAAATCAATTTTATGTAACTAAGATTTTAATATTAAAAAAACATTTTTGATTTTTTGCAGCTCATTTGAAATGGGAAAAACTATTGATGACATGCAGGTTGGATGTTTGTGGGTTGGAGACAATATAATCAGTGTTTCACTTAGTGGAAATATTAATTATCTTGATATGAAAGACCCTTCTAAGCCCAAGAGAGTTGTAAAGGTATATTTAATATGAATACAATGAGTTGTGAAACTCTTCACGCAAGTCTTTAAATTTTGTTTAAATAAAATATAACAATTATGAAATAGGGTCACAACAAAGCTATTGTGGCATCTTGTTTAAATGAAGATAGAACTTTATTGTTTACTGCAAGCTTTGAAGGACTAACCTATATCTTTTCATTATTTAGACTTTCATTTGTCTTATATTTTTAATAGTTGTATTCAGAGTTGAATGCAAGAATAACCCTTAATATTTGTGCCTATCAGGAGCTATTCTAGACCATTTTTGACAGCGTCAACCGAATTTTGGTGCCATCCAAATTAAAAATTGAGGACTTTTTTTTTTTTAATGTTTTTTATAGCAAATATTGTTTTTTCGCAAAAAAAAAAACCCTCATTTTTGGCAATATTTTTGCTAAATTTCTCCGGACTGTACTGCCATCCAAATTTTTATAACCCTATATATATATATATATATATATATATATATATATATATATATATATATATATATATACATATATACATATATATATTCATATATATATGTATATATATGTGAATATTACATATATTATTCTTTGGTATAAAAACTTTTATCCAGTTTTTGTCAGGTATCTAAGTATGGAAGACAGCAGCTATTATCTTGTTTTTTAATGAAAATCTATTTGGGAGATGCCTTTAAAAAGAAAATATTGTGGAAAAAAGTTTGTAAAAAAATACCTTTTTCTCTAGCACCATCATAAGTAAATATCCAATAATAATACTGAAAAATACAAGTTGATTGTTTAGTAACATTGATATTGTATTATAATTTTTAATATGCACATAAATAAAATATTAACAAATTCCTTAACAAATGTTCACGTTATTGGGATTTAGTTACAGGTGTTGCAGAGTATGTCCAGGGTGAGGCTCACAAAAATCAAGTGATGCACATGGAGTGTAAAAATGATACAATTGTCACATGTGGTATGGATGACACTGTTCGTTTTATAACAGTTTCTGAAAAGAAATACAGGTGTTTTGAATTCTTTGTAACACAACTTTTTATAATGCAGCATAATTGCAATATCTTATAATTAATAAAATATATAAATACTTTTATTATATTAGGTCAATAAAATATAAAATATAAATAAATATAATTATAGTTGAAATACAATTGTATTATTGTATATTAATATATGATATATTTCTTATAAATTTATTATAAAATTTATAGCATTTTTTATATATCTAAACTTCTTATAAAGAAATATTTTTAAATCACACAACAAATTTTATTAGCACATTGATTATTAATATCTTCTTTAAGAGACAACTCTACAGCACTATGATAATTATAATACAAAAGTTTATTGTTTAGCAGTAGCGTTGTTGCTTTAAGTTCTCAACCACGAGGATGTGCAATTGGAAATCTTGGATTGAGTATTGTAGTTTGTGTAAACTCTGTAAGCTTAACCTTTGTTGTTTTAATGTTTTTTTGATGTAAAGATGATTTATATAAAAAGTATAAAAAATCAAATAAAGACTAAAAAAAACTAAGCAAAAAGTAAATGAACTTGTATATTTAAGCAATTCTAAGAGTTTCATTTATTTTTAGATTTGATATTTTGTTTAAAAAAATGTTACAGCTGTGATAATACATTATTGAACAGCTGATATGTATTGAGGCAATTTTAAAATATTACAGCTTCTGTATTTTTTTTTTTTAAATCTTAAAATTGTGTCTGAATTTGAATAAGATTTTAAATAAGTCTGTTGTTTTGGTAAATCAAATAATTATTTATTTTCAGTTTTTTTTTATTATAAGCTTTTTCTTGGTCAGAGTTCTTAATTTTTTGTGAAAATTGATAGAAATGTTGTATTTTGACAATATATCATAACAATGTATCAGAACAGATTAGAACTAGTATCTACAGTGGGTTAGCGCACATCTTCGAAAGATTTTAACTAAAGTCAATTTAATGCTGTTGAGCGAAATTGATTTGAAGTTGAAAGTTTTTTTAAAAATTATAAAAATCTAAAGTAAAAAAAAATTATAACATTTAAAGCTCTTGTTTAGGACAATATGCTTTGAATAATTAAAAAATCATTTGAATAATTTGAATAATTAAAAAATCACCATAACTATACCGAGTATACACTAAAAATTGAGTATTTTTTGCATGCACTAAAAATTGAGTATTTTTTACATGCACTAAAAATTGAGTATTTTTTCACAGAAATTCTAAATAAGATTAAAAGAGGATTTTATTATTCAATTTTTATAGAAAATTGTTACCAACAATCAATAGGTTTATATCCCATGTTTACATACACACAGCTTGAGGAAAATGCATACATCTTTAGAAGGATGCATACATCCTCAAGAAAATACATACATCTTGAAAAGGATGTGTACAGGAGTCTCAATATAATATTATCAAAATAGTAATAATGTTGTGTACTCTAATTAAAAGTTAATAAGTGTTTTTTCTATTTATTTTTGAATTAAGAATCATGCTTTAAATTTAAATCATCAGACTATCACAACTCTCTGCTTTGGTATCAGACAGGTAATTTCACCTAAGGTCACCCTCATTTTTATTTTACATTTTGAATTTTTCATAAAATTTTAGGAGGTGATTTTTTAATTTATTAATATTTTATACGTTTTTTTTATTTTGGAACATCAAACTCTTATTTATAATTACTAAATTCATTTACTAATTTTGCTTTCAAGTTGCGCCTTTGAGTATATACCAAGTTTGCTTTCAGGCTGCACGTTTACATATATACCAAGTTTGCTTTCAAGCTGCACGTTTACATATATACCAAGTTTGCTTTCAAGCTGCACCTTTAAATACATACCAAGTTTGCTTTTGAGCCGCAACCATAAATATGTACCAGGTTCTCTAGAATATATCAAATACAAATTATAATATTGAAAAAAGATGAGTAGATGAGCTCTATAAAATATATGAAAATGCAAACACAATATCAAAAAAATTTTAATGAGTTTTAATGATTTTTAATTTTTAATTGTCATTATTATATATTGAATCTAGACTGAAAAAGGATTCTATTTCTTACGTTGTTATCCAATATCTTAGGTTGCTACCCAATATCTAAAGTTTAGTTTTAATTTCTAATCAACTTGATTGCAAAACATCCTTTTCAAACAATATCTTGAAGTTACCTATTTCTAGCACTAACCTTGTCTACCACAACCACCCCCTGATCAGAAATTTAAAACTGTTTTAAAATGTTGAAATAAATTATCAAACTAATATATGCTTTATGCATGTTATTTTTAAAATTTCTAACTAAATTTTTAGGTTAGTAAATTAAATTCTAATAAGAAATAAAAATATTATTGTATTATATTATAAATGTAAAATTATTTTGAAACAAAATAGAAAGATTAAAAAAAAAAAAAAATTAATAGAAAATTAAAAAAAAAAACAAGTTTTACATGTAATTTTATTGGCATTATTATTATTATTATTATTATTGTAACTACTATTATTATAGATCATTGTCATTCAAGATGGAAAAGTTGCTCAAAAATATTCGTCACTTTCTTTTGATCCTACTTGTGTAGCAATAAGCTGCGACCTTGCTAAAGTAGCAGTTGGTACTGAGGAGGTAAAATTTACTAATTATATTCATTATACTAAATTATATTAGTTTTCTTTTTATTTGCACAGTTGTGTCAAATTTATATCTGAAATTTTACTTCTAGTCAAAAGTTGTTATATACGACATAATAGGAAGTGAGTTAAAACAACATTCTGATTTTCCAACTAATGGCAATGTAACTTGCATTCAATTTTCTCCTGACAATAAGTTTCTTGCGATAAGCACTGGAAAGAAGCAAGTCAAAGTTGTTTTAACATCTGATTTTAAGGTAATTTATATTTCCATAGCAGTTAGAGCTATATTTAAAACTATATTTAATTTTCTTTAACTATTATATTTAGACCGAGAAGGGTAACTGGGCTTCACACTCTGGAAAAGTCAATTCTATTGATTGGACTCCGAACTCACATTTCTTGGCATCAGCGGGTATTGATGGAGCAGTTTATGTTTGGGATGTTGTTAAAGGTGATGCGAGTGCTTCTTTAAGAGGTAAATATTATTTTTTAGCTTGAGGTTTAAAATTAGAATATAGTACTTTTTTAGTAAATTGCTTCGAATGTAATCACAAGTTAATGTACATATTAATCTTGCTAAATATATATATATATTTTTTAATAGGTGCCCACTCTCAGTCCGTGGATGTCACCTCTGTTCGATGGTCGGATAATAATACACTATTAACATGTGGACGTCAAGATTGCTGCGTTCGTAAATGGAATATAAAACATTAGTTCTGTTGCACCATCGTAGAAAAAGGAATTCTTACTTAATCTGTCGTTTTTTGTTTCTGTTTGTTTTCAAAAATCTGATCACATTTTAATTTTATATAATTTTGTATAGTTTTTCATATTTCTAAATATTAAGCTTTTTTTAAAATTTAAAAATAAATTTTTTATTCTTCGGCAGCATTAATGAAAATTCCAAACGAAATATTTATTATTAATGATTGCATCTTATTAGCAGTTTTATGGCAAATACACTTAAATTGTGTACTTAATTATGTACAATCAAAATAAACAAATATTGAAAATAATTATAAGTGATAAGTAGAACATTTCCAACTTCTCATAATTCTCCCCTATAGTTATTGATCTCATAAATGAATAGTTCTTTTATATCTTTGAAAAAGTAATTTGAATTTTAAAAACTATTTTCAAAATAAAATAAATTTCTTCACGTTTCTAACGACGATAAAGGTGTTGCAACTTTTATCAATACTTTCGCACAACTATTAAATATAAGACAAGTTTGAAACGTTTAAAAAACGTATGAAAAACGTTATATAAAAAACGTATTTAGACGTTTTAAATACGTCTTGTGGGTATAGTATAAAAATTTGTTTTGGGTATAGTATAGAAATTTGTTTTTGTAGTTTATTTTGGTGCTCCCAGAGGTCCTTACGGTCTTATCACAGAGCACCGCGGGAGAGCATTTAACAAGAAGTTTACACTTCCTTTTGTACTAATGTTGCTTGTTGGACTAGAGTTTGCGTCGAACCTCGGGGAGCCAGAGCTCAGGGTTCTGAACCAAAACTAGTACAGTTGATCACAACGTCTTACAATCAAATTTAAAACAATATGGTATCAAAGGACTAATGTATAAATGGATAAAAAACTATCTGAGTAACAGAAAGCAGTTAGTAATTAACAAAGAGTCAAGTGTTCTTGGTAATTAGTGTGAGGTCCCTCATTACTCAATCTTTGGACCATGTTTTTAATTTACATCAATGTTATGCATAAAGCATCATCAATATTATCTTCAATAATGTATGCTGATGACTTATAGTAAGTCATTATTATAGTTATAGTAATTTAAAGTTGATGTTTGGAACAATGAATACTAAACTGGAAAACTTTAATTTATGGTTTAGAGCAAATAAACAATCCTTAAACTGTGAAAAAACTAACTACATCTTATTTCATAAAACAGGTCAATCAATGTCTCTGCCGTTAAAAATTCCAGAGATGCTCATTAACAACATAACAGTAAAACGGGAAAGATATGCAAAGTTTCTTGGTGTTCAAATTGATGAAAATTTATCATGGAGAAATCATATTGGACACATTGAATCAAAAATATCATCTGCAATAGGTACTTTATATAAATGTTGCCCGTTTCTTGATTTCTGTTCAAGAAAAAAAAATTACTTCAGTCTAATTCACAGTCATCTCACATATGCTAATATAGTGTGGGCTAATACACACAAAACAAAATTAATTAAACTACAAGGCTTGCAAAACCATGCTTGTAAAGCAATTCATTATCTAGTTAGAATGGACAATCTTTCTAATGCGATGACAAATATGAATTAAATCTGAAACTTGGAAAAACTTAATTTATATCAGATTCTTATTTTTATGTTCAAATAAAAAAATAATATGCTTCCAAAATCTTTTATAGACATGTTTTTATCATTTTCTAAAAGTTATAATCTGCGATCAAGTAGCTTCCATAACTATTATATTAAAAAACTAAAACCCGGGGTTCTGAATTTTCAATTGAAAAATCAAAAATTAAAAGATTAAATGGAACATCGTTGTTTAAGCGGCAAGCAAAGCTGCATATTCTTAGTTTGTAAAAATAATTGTAATAAATTTAATATATATATATATATATATATATATATATATATATATATATATATATATATACAAGCAGTAATAGTACAACAAAAAGTTTAATGAACAATCACTGTGATGTTTGATGATAAAAGGAACCAATCTTTTGATGAGGCAATCATTTTTGTACACTGTTTAGTTAATTGCCATTCTCGCAGAAACAATAAATGGTTTTGAGATTCTACGAGGGGATATGGTAATCCACTCAAGAATTTTTTTTTTTCAAATTTGCTTTTGCGCGTATATTGTATATTTTTTGATGCATTTTTTACTTCATTTGAGAAAAATCCAGCATAAGAATTTTTATTTGTATGTTTAAATGTAAAATAAGACTCATCGTCAATGACAAAGTCAAGGTTTCTGAATTTGTCACAAATTCAGAAACCGTGACACTTCACACTGCCACACTTCAGTTGCAACTGCTTTAAATGTTTATCAGTGCGATTAGGGATTTGTTTTTTCTTTAAATAACAAATGTTTGTTTTGTTTTTTAATGTTTTTACAATGTATGAATGATCACACTTGAATTTATTTGCAATTAAATTGTTGAAGTTCCAGACTGGTTGTTCAAAAGACCTTTCAGGCGGTTGATGTTCCTAGCAGTCATTATTTTTAGTTTTGTGTTTGATCCAGGCTAACAAGACTTTCACTCATTGCTCTTCCACTTTGTCATATAACTTTTATTGGTTCTTTCAGGGTGATTAGAGGCAACAAAATACTCTACGATGCTCTTCGTTTTAGCGTTAGGATACAAATTGCAATAGTTGTACACTTGTTCAATTAATGAAGTTGGCTTTATTTTTGGATAACTTTTTTATTAATTAATATAAGTAAACTAAACTTTCTGTAAAATATAACTAACACTTTATAAATAAAACAACTAAAAAAGTAAGACTGGGTAACTAAATATTCAATAAGTGTATGTGTGTGTGTGTGTATGTATGTATATAACAGCAAAAATAGTAATTACAAAGCTAATTACAAAAATATTATTTCTAAGTTTACTTAGGTAACTTTTTATATAGACATAGATACGCCAAATGGCGCTATTAAGGGAATCTGCAAAAAGATTTTTGGAGTTTTATACCCAAAAATGCTGAATCTTCTTTCATTTCCGTTTTAATAGGTATTGAAGTATAATATATATATATATATATATATATATATATATATATATATATATATATATATATATATATATATATATATATATATATATATATATGTATATATATATATATATATATATATATATATATATATATAATAGTTATTATACCAGAATTTATATTAAAGTTTGCATCAATACTATATTAATGTATCAATATTATATTAATGTATTTTTATCAATCTGATACGTAATAATTTTGTATATATATATTTTCTTTTTTTTCACGATAATAAATGTATATTTTATATGGTATACCTGGAAAAGAAAAAATAAATAAATTAAAAAAAAAGAACTCTTAATTACAAAAAAAGGAACTTTTAATTACATTGCATACTTATTTTATTTAATTGTGGATAAAGTTTAAATGTGGATTATTTATACTACTGTTTTTATTATTATACAACCGTATTAATTCGCGTTCCTGATATTGTCAATATTTGTTTAGTTCATTTAATTTTGGTACAAAAATATTTGTTTCTGATTTATTTAAAAATATAATTTAGCTATAATCTGTATTAAACAATCATAATTAATCGAAATTAAACAATCACGACTAAATATAAGTGTATATTAATAAATGTTTCGTGCCAATCTCAAAAAAAAATTATAATACAAACCAATATACATATCTTCTGTAACCGTCATTTGCTTTTATTTTTGCAATGTATTTACATTTTCACGTAGCAATAAGAATTGAAATATTGCTTTTTTTAATTTTCTACAAGCTTTAATGTTTTTAAGTTTGATAGAAAAACAGGGCCAACGACACCGGGAGGGGGAGGAGGAAGGAAGCAGGGGGCTGAAGACCCTTTTTTTATTTGTTTGGAAAATTCCGGATATAGAGGACTTTTTTTCAGAAATTTTGAAACCCGTGTCGTCGGCTATAAAAATATGTTATACAATATATGACAAGTAGTTTGACGAACCATTTCAAACAGAAATAACAATTAGCAATCTAAAGATTATAATTATTCATTATTTTGAAGTCAAAATAATAAATAAATTATAAATTAGAATTAAATTAGGCCCTCAAAGTCTCTGCTTAAGGCCTGAAATGATCCGCCACTTCTTCTAGATAATTATTGGACAAGGTAAATATCTAAGAACTAACTCTTTTTTTAGTTTATTGATAAAATTGAAATTTTATCAAAGAAAACTTTAGGTAAATTATTTGATAAAAAGTGAAACAAAATCCCTTTTGTTTTGTCGATATTTATGGTTATTTTTTGTCGACGTTGATGTTTATGGTTTAAAAGTTAAAACAATTAAAATAATGCGGAAGTACATTAAGTTTTATTGTTTTTTAGCTCGTTTGAGCAGCAACCATGATAGTATTTGTAGAAAAAAGAAAGAGATGCAACCTTACAACGATAAGAGAGTGGCTCAAGGTTGGCAGATAAAGCAAATCTAACTACAATTGGAAAAATGTCATAAATGTTCGACATAAAGAAATTAATGTCTTTCGCAAACATAATACTTATAAGATAGAAGCTTTATTAAGATCATTTATATAAAATATAAACAAATTTCAAAAAAGTTATTTCTATAGGATAAAAATTGCATTCCATGCGTGGAGTTAGTTTTATTCATAATTTATGACTAATTCTGTAGTCTAAGCTTTAGTGGAATGCAAGAACCATTGAGCTTGAGTGAAGTTCGACTTGAACTTTGAAGTCTGACTTTGTCAAGTTAGACTTGAAAAAAAAGCTTGAGACTTGAAAAAAAAAGCTTGAGCAAAAAAGAAACTTGAAAGTTTCAAGATTGCGCTTGATAAATTTGAAAAACCTAAAGGCGACTTTCTGTAAGAATCTGCCAAAAACACTAAATTTTTAGAGTGACCTCTTTCAAAATCGCTAATTTTTTAAAATACTAATCATTCTAGAAGCTCAATTCCAAAATTAAAAAAAAAAATTAATTGGTTTTCTAGAAATTGGATGTCAAAGTTTGGCTAAACTTATAAAAATATTGACCAAAAGTTGTCGAAAGCATTTTTTTCTGTCTAAATATCCTGCTTTAAAATACGCGAAAAATTATGTTTTTT